TTTACTAGTTCCACTGATACAAATAGAAAAAAGGTTTTTTTAATCAAAATTTAGAATGTTCTAAAAGAAGGAAAATTTTTAAAAATAATTTAAAAAAAAATTTGGTCTTTCCTCTTAATAATAACATAAGCATTTAGACAATAAAATTTTGTTTTCGCAAGGTTGGCGTCTTTTTTTCATCAAGCTATGCTCTTTTTTTAGCGATTTCGTTTTTTACCTAACTTAAGTGCAGTACTAGACTCAAGACTGGCAGCAAAGTGTCATCAATTCACAGCTTCCTAACAGTTTCTTTTCTTGCTTGTGGGACACCCTCCAGCTTCCCAACATTTTTTTATCTTCAAAAATTTAAATGTAATGTCAATCGTTATCTAGTCCTCTTGATTACTTTTCTATTGTTCTTGCTCCTTAATAATGTTTCTCTTTTTTTCTTATTCTTTCACTCTGTAACCCAGGTACCACCACTAATTTACTGGAAAAAAAACAAAAAAAAAATAAAATAAAATAAATAAATAAAAAGCATGCATGATGAAAAAGGCCCCAAACTTAAGAAAAACAAAGTTCTACTGTCAAAATGATTTTTCTATTAAGAGGAAAGACTTAAGTATTTTTTTTTTTTTATTATTATTTTATAAAATTTTTTAATCCTTTCTAGCACATTTGAAATTTTGGTCAAAAATCTTGTTTTCTTTGCATCAACAGTCAGCCTAATTTCTACTATTGGTGTTTTAGCACCCCCCCCCTTCCAGGTGAAAAACATTGATTTGGAAATTCTTGCAAAAACCAAATAATGAAACTTTTAATGAAACTTTCAAGATTTTACTCACAAATGAATGAAATTAATCATGAAATTAATCTCGTCATCGCAATAATACCGGAAGCGGAATAAAATATCAAAGTGGAGAGAGGAAAAAAAATTTAAAACTTATTCCTTTGTTGAGCTCTTGAATATGGGAATTTTAACTGAGTTTTAAGGCATTTTAAAATTCAAGATAAATTATTGATTTTTGTCCAATTTTCTATTATCATCATCATCATCATTTTGCTGCTTCATTAATTTATTAAATTTGGTTTCGGGAGATTACAATTCCAGACTATGGAATCAGACAAGCACAAACGAATTGTTAAAAAATATAAATAAATAAACAATGATCAAAGTAAAATTAAGAATAAAAGTAATTTGACACTATTTACATCATTTGGACTATTGTCCTCATCTTTGTTGCCATATTTATTACAGCGTTTCAGCCTTCTTCAGGTGGTTGGAATTTTTTTTTACCAGTTCTCATATTGCAATTTTGCTGTTATCATTAGATGTTTTTACCAGAGCTCATATTGCAATTTTTTTGTTGTTGTTATCACTTTTCTCTGGCACTTATTACTGTTTCCCATATTGTATTCATTTCTATGCTTGGTTGGCTCAGGAGATTTTTGTGGCCTAGCATATGTGCTGATTCTTTAAGTTTACGAATTTTCCAATAGTGTTCTTTGTCTATGATCTCAACCTGATCTCACAGAGGGCGATGATCTCCCTTTCTTTCCATATGTGATCAGCTACACCTGATTTTTCCACTTCCCCTCATCATTATCACCAGCAATGGTGAATATATACATGGAATACTTTGAGGAAATGGCATCAGAATCTATATCTCTAAAGCCAACTCTATGGTTAAGGTACATAGATGACACCTTCATAACAGCAAAATTGCAATATGAGAACTGGTAAAAATGGTGGCTGAAGACATTAGGTTTATAATACCCAGAAATTCATACACAGATGACATATGGTACAGTGGATAAAGGCATTAATTAGTTTTAGTTGGATTCAGTGACAGGACCCAAAGAGTGTGAGTTCAATGGAGTTAAGGCAGTGGAGAAGGGGGTGAGGGGAATTAACAGGAGATAACTGATGATAACTGACATCCATTTGACATGGCACGTGAAACCAGAACAGTTTACCCCAGTGAGCGAAATAAAGGGTTCAGTTTGACATTCCAACCACCCGAAGAAGGCAGGAGCGTACAACGGCCGAAAGTGTACATAAATACCTCATCTCAGAAATATAGACAGATACCAAAAGTAATTCGAATTTGAAAAACTTTCCATTTATAAAGGGAGGTGCGAGAAAAAAAAAAAAAAAAAAAAAAATTTTTTTTAGAAAACAAATTCGACAATTTATCTTTTTTTTTTTTTTTTTCTTTTCAAATAAAATGCACCATTAAACTAAAAAGTTGGTAAATTGTGATGATTAAATTTGTAATTTGACCTTGCCTGAAACAAAACAGAAGGTCAAATTAAAAAGTTGATTTTTTCGGAAGCAGATAGAAAAAATCGAAGAAAAAAAAAAAAAACCTACAAGTTGGATAAAAAATATATATATATATATATATATATATATATATATATATATATATATATATATATATATATAAGTAAAAAATTTCAAAAAAAAACTTAAAACTTTTAAAGCTGAAGATTTTTTTTTTAGAGATTTTATTTGAATTTGACTGAGGAAGTATATTCGGGTTTTTTAGCGTTTCATACCATTTTTTTTTTTTTTTACGAAATATGATAATGAATACAAATTTGATTTTTTTTCAACTTACGATTAAAATTAATTGAAATATTGAAATCCGCTCTAAGCATGTCTAAAAACATTGTTTGAATCGTAAAAAAAAAAAAAAAAAAAAACAAACACGACTAATCAAATTTTCAATTTTTTTTTTTTTAACTGGTCTAATAATTTTTGGTTTGTATTATTATTGCATGTTAAATCAAGATTGGATTTTTAAAAGAAAAAAGTTTCGTATTCACACACCAGAACTAATGCACGATCTCTGAAAATTAACGAACCATGAAGTAATTTTAATTAATTTATTACTAATAGTAATTAATCTTTTTTTTTCTTTCATCTTGTTGCTTTTTTTAGTTTTTATAGTAATGCTCAGGTTATATTCTCTATGATCGATTTTTCAACCGTTTTTGTGGTTGTTACTCAAAAAGTAAAAGACGAACGGAGACATTTTTCAATTGGAAGAAAAAAAAATTGCGAGGGAATATCAATGTTTTTGAGAATAACAATGGTCTTTCCATAACAGTCCTAATTTAACCCATAGTTAGAGAGGAAATGGATTCATAGTACCTTTCTCAAGTATATTTACGCGTAAGTGAATCTAAAAAAATTTGACCGGAATTCGAACTCGGTTCTCTGATTTCTTATTCCGAACCGCTAAACCCCACCACTATCACACCCGGCCATTTATTTAACTTAAGCAGCATACAAACAATACGAAAGAAAAAACAATTAAAATAGTTATTAAATAAATTTTTTGTGCTATGGTTCAGGTTACTGATAGGTAAAAAAACTAATTCTAAATCAACGAAAGATTTGCTTAACCACAGAAATCGATTTTCTATGGTAAAAAAAAAATCTTTGGCCAAGAAAATTTTCTTAAACATTGTTGTCCTTCGTCATAAATTTGTTAAAAAGTGATAGATAAAAAGTAAAAACCTATGAACAATTATGGATTCAACAAATGATAAATTATTAGACAAGCAAAAATGATTTAAGAAAAAAAAAATTAAATCTTTTTTTGGCAAGTTTAGTACGAAAACATGTGCAATAAAGAAAAGAAACGGATCTACGACAGATGAGGTGGTGACCTTTTTTCGGAAAAAGGTTATTGGTAATACTGTTTAGTTACTGTTTACCTCTATCAACAAACAATTCGAAAGAAAGCTAACAAATAGAAAACATACACCCTCCTTGTTGTCGAACATAAACATACCTCAGTATTTAATATTTTTAAAGATAAAGATTAACATTTTTAATCCGTTATAAAAAGTGCGAACCTAAAAAAAAAACTCAGGTAGCATTTTTATTTTTTCTCGATTGCCAATGTCTTCAGAAGTTTCCAGATTCCTCCTGAAAATCTACCTTCCCATTACATTTTAAATTGATTCCTCTACAAAACTGGTTATCCTTCTCTGTAGAAGATAAAAAAATGCTAATTTCTGGTTCAAAATATTTTAACAGAAACGAGCATGTTCCAGTCTCAATAACTGTTCTGCTGAGTGTTTAACTTTTAAATGTCTCTTTTTGAGCAGATTTCAAAAGAAAAATAATAATTAAACTATAATTGTTTCTCTCAAATATTTAATTAAGACAATAAACATTATAATTATTAATTAATAAAATATCAAACTGCAAGTGAATTTAATGACTGGAGAGAAAATTCTCAAGCATTTTCTTTCTTCAATGCAAACATCGCATCGTGCGTATCGTGCGTAACGCACGACACGTACCGCAACTTAAAATAACATAATTTTAAAAGATATTAATTAATTAATTATAAACATATTTTAAAATTATATTTTTCTACTTCTTTCAATAGGCAAAACAAATTAATTAAGTCATCTACACGAAACACTCGAAATGACCTTGCAGAGTTATCAAGAAGACACTATATAAGCGAGCCAGATTTATATATGGAAAAATATATATTTACTTACCGAAGGATGGGCTTTTAAAGATGCTGAAGTCAATCCTTTCATAAGCTTCATGATTAGGTATTTTCACTTGTGGGGGACTAAATCTGCCAAGATAAAAAAAGAGGAAAGGTTCAGCCAACTTCACCCAGAATTCTTCTATGTTCTCGCCGTCGCAATAATACCGGAAGCGGAATTATGAATATTGCCGGAGCAAATAAAAAAAAAATAGCCATAAAGATTTTAAACTAAAAGCATCCAGTTACTATGAATAAAACACTTAAAATATAATATCAATATTTTCAAGATAGCTTAAATAAAGTTTTTAAGCAATATAATTTTTTAAGGAAAATATTTCGCCTGCCGTCTACTTCCGGTTTTTACAAGCTTGCGATGCTCGCGTGTTGAACCAAAATAGAAGGGTAAAACTGTGAAATCTCAAAAACCATATAAAAATGTCTGAGGATTTAAGTATCGAAGGAGTAGACCCAAGTGTCGGGTTTTTGTACAAAACTATGCGTATGTATCACTTTTTATGCATATTCTATCGTCTTTACTGCTGATCAATGTGTAGGAATGATTGTAGTGCCGGCTTTTTCGTTACCCACCGCCACGACGATCGACCGAGTCTTTCTTTTTCTTTCTCTTTGTGTAAAAAAAATCTTTGTAGAACTAATCGTAGGGTCTTCTTTTTGTCATGTAATAAGTACATGAAAGGCATTTTATTTATGTTTCTCTTTCTGTATTACTTTATGCTTTTCTCCAATTAATGTTAGTTAAATAAATGAAGTAACCTTTTTCAGGAATTGGTTAAGTCAAGCAAGAATTGGTGGTCACAAACTGAGGGCCTATTTTATAAAACTTAATTTATTATGTAATGGTCCCCCAGTTTTTACCATCTCTTTCGTAAAACAAATATATTCTTTTTCTGTATAATATGACTTCTTAATACATTTCATATTGGAGCTAAGTAATAATTAACAAAATAGAAACTTTGTTGCAGAATCTTTTACAGTTGAAAACTTTTATTTGATTATTTATTTTACAAAGAAGTTTTCTGTATGACAGTTAAAAAAAAAAGTAACTATTTTTCTAGGTAACGAATAATGTCAAAATAAATGATAATTTTAAAATTTAAATGTTTACTATATAAAACACGATTGCAAAACATTTAGCAAAATATCCGAGTAACTATCTTTTGTTTTCTTAATTTAAATATTTTTCATATACAAGAAAGATTTAAAAACTTAAAAAAAACAATAACGTTAATATTTATTAAAAATTCTATATTTTGGGTATTAAAAAATCGTTTATACAAACTCCAGGTTTTCGTGCGATACGAGTGACATAAAAAAATTCATAAAAACAGGGATTTTATTGATAAGTAAGTTTTTGATCTTCAAAAAATCTTAACTTCGCCAACTTTAAGAATTTTGCCATTAAAAATTTAAAATAAAGGCGATAAGCATTTTAGGTTTACTCTTGATTTTATTTTCATGGAAAAAATATTTTCCATAAAATTAAGATTTACTTTTTAGACAGAGTTAAAAATAAAATAAACCGACAAAAAATGTTTATATTCTAAATTGCCCCCCCTTTTTTTTTTTTATGGAAAATTCTTAAAGTTAATAAAGCAAAAATATTTAGAAATATTTAGAACTTTTACGTTCCCCCCAAAAAAACCCCCCTTAAAACAAGCCCAGAAACATTTCCCTCATTTGTTGTCGATATATTTGTTTTGTTTTTTAACGAATTGATTGTTTTATTTTTAACTTGTACTTTTTAAATTCTGAGCATTTATACATCTTTAGTAATTTCAAATAATCTCTTTCTTAAAATAAAACAGAAGATCGCATTTTTCAGGAAAATAGCAGAACAATAACAATAAGATTTTCTTTAAATTAAAATTTTCTTGTAGGTGTGGCTCATCAGTGTAGCAAGGGACTGGTGACCAAAATGCATGTTCTGTCAAAGGTTAAGAAGGCTTGACTAGGAAATACAGATTTTGAACCATAGAAGGAAAAAATAATAAATTTACTTTGTGCCAGTAACATCTATAATATTAAATGTCTTAATTTGGAAAGGCAAAAAATGATAATCCTTCGGAAGTCAATTTGGGTCACAATGTTATCTACAGTGGGGGCAATAAGTATGAAAAATTGAACGCTTCAGCCAATATCCCCGACACACACTTTGTGACTTTTTCCATAAGTTCTCTATGAATTTAAATTTTGAATTTATGCCACAACTAAGATTCAACGTAGGCTATGCAAAATATGAAATAAATACATAAATGAGTTGTGTAACTATATAGTTGAACTATAAAAAAAATGTATTGTTACGGTTAACGATTGAGCATTGAATTCTTTTTTTCTTTTTTGTTCAGTTACTTTTAATTTTGATAAACGTTTTAATTACTTTTGGTAAGTTTCGACGGAAATTCTTTCTAATCCTGATGTGTTTTTTAGAATTTCCCTTCGTAACATCCATATCACAAATTTTCATTAGAGCTTTTTTTTTTTTTTTTTTTTTTCAGGTGATTGCGAAGAAGGCCATTGACCTTTTTCCTTTTCCATTCATTCTGTCATGTTTGCAATCGTTGGATTCTTGGAATATCCAATTTTTCTACTCCTTCGGAGATTTCGAGCTGAATTCGGCTTGACTACTATACCGGTTTTACAGTCTTGGAGGAAGACGATGACTTGATTGTTAAAAAAAAAAAAAAAAAAAAAAAACACTTGACCAAATAGAATTGATAAACACACGTTCAATAATTGATAATTACGGTGGCGATGAATGAATTCAAAGAATACAAACAACTAAATAATTTAAATAAGATAACCTTGTTTGACGTTTATTGTGCTAGAGACTCGCCTTTTAATAAGCAATTATATTCAAATCAACCTAATTACAATTTAAACGGTAGATATATAAAATTTTAATAAACTAGTAGTGACATAGTCCAATTAGTGATACAATATTGTTCAATGAGTCTTGAGGTGTACTTGTCAAAATATTGTGATGAGATTGCATCACTATTTTAGTTAATTAGGAATAATTCCATTTTTAGTCAACTGTTTTATTCAAGTTGTCTACCTCTCCAAGACCTTTTACCTGATAAATGGTAGTCAAGCCCTGAATTCTTTGGATTTATTCTTAAGAATATCTGGATATTCTTTTCTCTTTTATTTTTTTTAATAATTCATTCTATCCACATGAATACAAATTGGCTAACACCTTTTACATTACACTAACTAAAAAGCAAATCTATAAATTGAACCTTCTCCATGTTTCACTGTCTGAATAGTGTTCTTCAACAAATTTTCATTTGTTTTCTGTTTTATATAATACTAATTGCTTGACTGACTGAAAAATTCCAGTTTCATCTCATCAATCAACAAAATTTTATCTCAAAACGCTTCCTTGTTTAGATGCTCCTTTTAGTAAAAATTAATTTGGCTTTCATGTGTATTTGGTATATTCTTTTGTCTAGGGTCTTTCAGTCTCAAATATTCTTTGCTGTACTTTAACATTCACACCATATGATTTTAAATTGTTACTCACCTCTTTCATCAGTGGATCTTTATTGATGTCCCTAAAAATCTTTTGCCAGAGTTTTAGTGAAACTTGGATAACCAATTTGTGGAAGATTTTTCAGGTCACCAACCATCTTTAATTCCTTTATGAACTATACCATTGATTAAACAACACTCAGCTCCTTGTAAATCTTGTAATAACCCTTTCCTGCCATGTGCTTATTAAAGAGTTGTCAAATTAATGCAAAGCTTCTTCATCTTCGTCATAATGGAATGAATTCAAGACAATTTCTATATGAATAATATGATGTTTCAAAGATGAAGTTCAATGTTGCTGTGTGTGATCAGCAGTGACACTGAATTTTCTTCATTTTGACCAACCTTTGTGTGCAGCCATCACCATCAACAGACCCAATTCTCATGCAGAATATGACCTGAACAGGAAGATTTGGGTTATATTGTGGAAGTGGTCTGATGACCAGATGTTACCCACGCTGAAGAACCAGATACTGGAATGTGCTGCACTGAAGCAGCTCAGAGAGGAGTACACTCACAAGCTGCAAACCTGGATAGATAATGGTTGGCTACTTCCATATCCTGAAGAAGTGTTCAAAACCCCCTAAGGGCCTAATTCCACTAATGGCTGTGCTGCAAGAAAACAAGTAGAAAGTCAGCCACCTGAAGAAGGCTGGAGCGTATAATGGCTGAAACATTGTGAATATGACAATAAAGATGGAGACAACAGTTTGATGATGTAAATAATGTAAATAAAATCATTTCTCTCACTGTACATTTTCTACCCTCTAACCTTTCTCTCACAGATGGAGTGTGGCAAATTTCTCACTGCTCTATCACTACTTTCATGGAAAGTGCCCAGACAAACTACATTCCTTTGTTCCACCAGGTCTAACCTTCATGCCATGCCACTTATATTGTAGTAAACCACCCACATTCTCTCTGTGGGAAGTAAGTTTCACTCGAACAGCTTTTTCCCATGAACCACTGCTCTGTGGAACAAGAGGATGTTTCCCCAATCACTACAATCATAACCTATTCAAGTTTAGAGTTAACCATTATCTTCCCCCTCCTATCCATATAAACTACCTCTTAATTTAACCCTCTACTTTGTGTGAAAGACCTTGTACAGGGCGAATCTTACTGTGTAAAAAAAAAAAAAAAAAAAAAAAATCTTTCTTTTTTTAAGAAAATCATTCATTCTTTTATTTTCAAAATATTTTTCATATTTTGTAAATTTACAAGAAAGGCATCTAAGTCGTTTTAGAGATGTCAAAACTCAGAAATGATTTTAATTGTAGCAAATACAATAGGGTAAAATGCTTTTTTGTATTTGGTTTCGTTTATATCAATTATATATTAATCAGTATAGACATTTTCTTCCTAACTATTATACAATTAAATGAATCTGTTGACTGCTTTAGGTATGGGACATAAAAAAATCTATATTAAAGTTTAGCTATCTAGTGAAATGCTCAAACTGGACCCACTTATTTTTAATTATAAATTAAACTAACTTTAGATAAAGTTACCACTTAATGTTTAAAAAAAATAATCTTTTTTATTATTGAGAGATTGGAAGTTTTTAACCATATTTATAACTTCCTCTAACTCTAAGGGAACACTTTTTTTTTTTTTTTTTTTTTCAATTGCTGTAGGCAATTGACACACAGCTATTATTAAAAATGTTCTGAAATAATATACTTGCTAAAGTTAAGGTATTAATCCTAGAATGTCATGGATCTGATTTTATTAAAATTCCATTAACCCAATGTTTTGATTGATTAGTCTCACGATCATGAATCCCATAATCTTTTTGGTCATAGGGTCACTACATTTTACTGCAGCTATAGCAGCAGTGGTGTTTCATGAGCAAGACAGCTTGACAGAGTCCAACCCTCTCTGGGCTAGTTTGACTTCAGTGTTTTCTTTCTCCCTAGACTGGCTGCCAACCAACATTATAGGGCC